TGGTCTGGGGTCCCGAACTGCACAAGTAACGTGATCTACCTGAGAGGTGTAGAGCTCTGTCCGGGGAGAACACCCCAGAACTGTGCCTCGTATGGCTTGAGATCCGCCTGGGTTATCTTCAGGGCCGGCAGACTGTTCTTGAATAGTATATCGATGGAGCTGCCGCCATCAATCAGCACTCTGTTGAATTGAACTTTGTTGATACAAGGATCAAGGACCAGGGGAAAACGTCCTGTCTCAGGTATTGCGGCCCATTGGTCTTTTCTGCTGAAGGAGATCTCACGGTGAGACCAAGGAGGGAGCCGTGGATCGGCGATAAGGTTGTCGGTGTTGGCCACGTTCAAGCAAGCATGGGCGAGCAGCTTGCGTGTCCCTGTCCTAGATGTGTATGCATGGCATACAGATCACGGTCTATGGTTCAGATTCATTTGCTTGCTAGAGGGTTTGCTGAAAGCTTTATCAGGGAAGGGGAAGGTTCAGATGTGGGATTACACAACGAGGACGCACGACCAGCTGATGTAGAAGTACACAATGATGCACCACCACCAGTTGATGCAGAAGTAGACAACGAAACAACACCACATGAAGTTGGAGTAGACAATGAAGAAGGCGCACCGAGTGATGACCGTGGTGCCACTAATTTGGTTAGATCCCTAATCAGAGGCGCTATACATGGAGAGATCAGAGATACATGCGAAGATCTTCTTCAAATTATTACAGGCGGCAGAAAAGGAATTGTATCCAGGTTGCACGGATGCTACTAAGGTCTTTTTTATTGTGGAACTTTTTCAGGTTAAGTGCTTGAACGGTATTAGTAATAGAGCATTGGAGGGGGTACTTAATCTGTTCTCAAGGTTTCTCCCTAAAGGCCACTGTGTCCCAAACACAATGGAGAAAGTGCAAAGGGTGGTTCAAGATCTAGGCTTGGACTTTGTAAAGATAGACACCTGTGAGAAGGATTGTGTGTTATTTTGGAAGGAAAACACAAATCTGGATACATGTCCCAAATCTGGTGAGTTTAGGTGGAAAACGCCCGACGACGGTGCTCATGATCAGTGGGGCGATGCGGATGGTGGTGCTAATACAACAAATAAGAAGCGTGTCCCACGTAAAATCCTACGGTACTTTCCTCTTACTCCTCGGCTGCGAAGATTATATATGAATGAGAGCACATCATCACAAATGCAATGGCATAAGGAAGAATTGGTCAATGATGGCAAAATGCGTCACCCTGCTGACTCGAAGGCATGGAAGCACGTGGATAGGAAGTATGACTGGTTTGCAAAGGATGCTCGGAAACTAGGCTAGGTCTTGCTTCTGATGGCTTCAACCCCTTTGGCATGCAAAATGTTACATACACCACATGTACTATTATCCTAATCCCTTATAATTTGCCTCCTTGGTTGTTTGAGAAACAACCTTATTGGATGATGTCGATGTTGATACCCGGTAAAAAATCTCCTGTAATGAATATTGATGTATATTTGAGGCCCCTCATTGATGAGTTGAAGGAGCTTTGGGAAAAGGGTATTGATACATGGGATGATAAGGTAAAGAAGAATTTTAAACTACATGCTATTCTGCTTTGGACAATTAATGGCTTTCCTGCATATGCAATGCTTTCTGGTTGGAGCACAAAAGGCAAATTTGCATGTCCATACTGCCACAAGGATACATATTATTTGTGGTTGAAATTTGGGAACAAGAACTGCTACATGGGACATCGTCGTTTTTTGCCCTCAGACCATCCATGGCACATGAGCAAGATCGGCTTCATCAATGAGGTGGAAACCAGGGTGGCACCAGTACCAATGTCTGGTCAACAGGTATTGGAGCAGTATGAAACTTTTGATCAAGTGAGTTTTGGAAAGGTGGCATCAAAAAAGAGGAAGCGTGATGGAGATAAAAGATGGCACAATTGGAGGAAGAAGAGTATTTTCTTTGAGCTCCCTTACTGGTCTTGTTTGCTCATAAGGAATAATTTGGACATGATGCACATTGAGAAAAACATATGCGAGAGTAAATTGGGTACTTTGCTTGAAATTGAAGGTAAATGTAAGGACAACGAGAAGGCCCGACTTGACATGGAACAGCTAGGGATAAGGCAAGATCAGCACCCTGTGATTGACGAAGATAATTATACCTTACCACCAGCCTTGTACTTTTTAGATAAGGATGATAAGAAAAGTTTATGCCAATTTCTACAGGGAGCGAAGATGCCTGATGGGTTTAGCTCCAATATAAGGAGATGTGTTGACGTAAATGCATGCAAGGTATCTGGACTCAAAACTCATGACTACCATATTATTCTACAGAAACTGTTACCCTTAGTCATCAGAAAGATTTTTCCAGAAGATGTTGTGGCGCCATTGATTCAGCTTAGTAGGTTCTTCACTGCACTTTGTTTCGAAGGAGCTGGTGGAAGAAGATATTGACAAACTTAGTAGTTCAATTAAAGAGACTTTTTGTTGGCTTGAGATGGTATTCCCACTTGCGTTTTTTGATATCATGATTCATTTGCCGATTCATCTAGCTGAAGAGGCTAAACTTGGAGGGCCCGTGTGTTATAGATGGATGTATCCAGTTCAGAGGTATCTACATACTGTTAAAGGCTATGTGAGTAACAAGGCGCACCCAAAAGGTTCAATAGCCGAGGCATACATAGCCGAGGAGTGCCTTACATTTTGCTCTAGATTGACACCAAGCTGAATCGCGCTGATCGTCAAGAAAGTACAGCCGTGAATGAGCCACCGTCTGGTCTGAGCATATTTGGTGAAATGGATTACAAGAGGAGAGGACATACTATCGAGATATTTGGTGGAGACGAGGTTCGGAAGATGAGGCACTACATAATTAGTAACTGCGATGAAGTCAGACCATAGGTCGAGTAAGTTGCAATATACCAACATTAATTAATGTACAATTTGTTTGTGGCATCAACTAATTAATTGGCTATTTCGCTGCAGGGAGCATATGGTAGAACTCAAAAAAATAGTATAAGGAATCTTAATAAACGACACGAGGAGCACTTTGTAAGGTGGTTCGAGGACAATGTTAGTTCTATTTTTTTTTTTATTCCATGTGATGGTTAGAATGATGTACTAATTAACAGAGACATTTGTTTTCAAACTGGGTTTGCAGATCACCAAACTATATGAGAAAGGGGAAGCAAGTGAACTGATGTATGCCCTTTCTCAAGGACCGGACCATCGAGCTCGTGTGTTCAATAGATGCTACATCAATACCTGGCTATTTCGAACGACTGCCATTGAGAGAAACCTCATCACATAAAACAGTGGTGTGCTTGTGAGGGGTGATGGTACTACTGGCAACATGACCTGGTATGGAGTGATTAGAAGAATGATCTCACTCGAATTCCCTACACAAAAAGAAGTTGTATTGTTTCAGTGTGATTGGTACGATGTGCCGGCTACCAATACCAGCAGAAGTAGAGGATACAGTAGGGATAAATATGGTGCTATCGATATCGATACTTCCAGGTTACGATATTCAAATGAACCTTGCATTCTAGCGACACAGGCTGAACCGGTGTTTTTTGTCAACCTCGTGAACAAGCCGGGATGGTCTAGTGTCGTTGCGGTGAGACCAAGAAATTTGTTTGCTATGCCAGAAGCAGAAAATGAGGGTGACATGGAAGTCGATCTACTTGACGTGGGAATCCAAGACATGAATTTAGTAGACTTAAATGAGGATTTGTCTAATTGGACAAGAGCAGATAAGGAAGGCACAACTGGTGATGCCTCTGTTATTAATAAGGTGCGTGGTGAAGCAGTTCCCGAACCAGATGATGCGGTCTTACTTGATGAGGATGATGATGATGAAGATGACACCTACATTGATGATGGAGTTGTTGCACCAGTTGTGGTAGAAAGCCTAGAAGATGATTTCTTTGTTTAAATACTTATTTTTTGTTCAACTGTGATGCGTACTTTAGTTGATTCTCATTCTTGCTGATTATTGATATGTCCATAGCCCAGAATTAAAATAAAATACAATGCACTATTCAGAGGTGTGACTTGCAAGCTTGAAATTTTTTGCTTTCTTCTGAATAAATTTTGGATAAACAAGAGCACACATTCGGCATCTGAAAATAAAAATAGCATTATGCTTCTATTTGGTATGCAAATGCAACTGTGCAAGTGCGCGGCAAACGCGAATGTGCGTTTGAAGCTTTCAAATAACTCTTGCTTTCCATGAAAGGCCACGGCTGGACTCTTTCAGTGTTTGCAAAAGGTAACTGCAGGTCGATTGGTTCATGTCATAAGCACAAATATCAGGAAGCTGGACAATTTTTTGTTTTCTGAAATGCTTACAGCTCCACTAATTTACTTATTCAATTGTGAAACTATGCAGACGGTGATGGTAAAATTGTCGTGGAAGATGCACACAAGCAGCAGTGCAGTACTATTCAGACGGCAGCATGTCTTTTATATTGCTCCGTCCAGACATATCTTACTCCAAATTCCTAACTCCAATTCCCTTCTTATCGTCTTCTCAAATTTCTCACTGAGTTTCGTGTTTTTTTAAGTAAAATACCAGGAGCTTTATCTTTCAATTAAGACCGGAAAGAGAGCTTTCAGACAAAATACAATTTACAGCCCAGGCTGCAGCAGCACAGCAAACCGGAGGACGAAGATAAGGCTTAGACAGGCCTCAAACACAACCAAAGCAAACAAAGTAGTGTTATCATCTTCATCCCAAATAACCTTGTATACAAGTTTCAGATAAAAAATTACAATGTGCATACATCTTATAGCATATCTATGATCAACTCTTACAGATCAATTTCAGCCTGTTCGCTTGTTGGTTTCAGCCAGGGCTTATCAGCCATGGTACATTATTTTTCTCTCACATCAAATCAGCACCGACCGGGTTTATCAGCCCAGAAACCAACCAGCGAACAGGCTGATTGTCTCAAGTAGGCTAAAATATTGTACGATAGTCTATTTGGGTCCTTTGCAACCTCTACGAGGTATCCATCAACTTAAGTTCACAACAGGGCTGATGCTTCTTCCAAATGGCATGCGAAGCTCATTCGTGCACGTCTGTCCACACTTCAGCAAATTATTGTTGCCTTCAGTACCTCTGCTGGTGTTCAGTTTTTCTATCGATCTTCTTACATATCTGAACTGACTGCAACATAAAAGAAAAAATAAACATCATCAATATGTACTGAACAGCAAGACCTTAAAGGCTCAGAGGGTGTACTGTAACAGTAGTTTACATTAACATGATATCCTGTTAATAGAAATTGCTTTCACATGTGAATAAACGAATTACAGAAACAGGAGAGGGAGAGGGTTGCTTTCACATGTGAATAAACGAATTACAAACAGGAGAGGGAGAGGGATTGGACTTCAACCACGATGAGGAGGAATTCATGATTGGCGTTCAACCAAATTGTGTCATCTTCGTTTCAAAAAAAAAAAAATTGTGTCATCAAATCCATGTGTGCCTGACCAAGCAATTTCAGAATCGATCGTGGTCCATGTGTGCCTGACCAAGCAATTTCAGAATCGATCGTGGTCCATGTGTGCCTGATCAAGCAATTTTAGAAACGGTCACAGGCCACCTTGATAGGCAAACCTGATAGGCAAAAAAGGGGTGCCCACCAGTACAGTTGCATACCTAAGAACTTTCGCCGGCGCTGGTGGCGGAGGGAAGGGCGCCGGCGGAGGTTGCGGATCTGAGAGGGTCGAACCGCGCGAGCCGAGGTCGTAGTCCTTGGAGCCGTCCGTGGGGCCGGCTTCCTCGACTTCGGTGTGGAGTCCTGCTCCTCGACGCCTTGGGCGATGGTCGCCTCCGCGCCTTGGACGAGTAACAGATGCAGAGTAGATGGAAGCCCAAGCCCGTGAAAGCCCGGAGCCAAGTGCTAGCGGACTCACCTGCGAGTGAGCCGAGCAAATATGAGAGTCGCCCGTGACGAGGACGGGTGTGGCGCACGCTTTACATACCCCTCCGCCCGCCACAGCCGATCCACTTAAGAGGCATCTGTACAAGAAAAATAAAGGCCGCAGCTAGCATCGAACAAACCTAGTAACCCAATTTTAGATGATCCTTTGTGTGAACTCTAGCTGCTGGGTTCAAAGCCCACGTGGAGCAATTTTTGTTAATTTTTAATCCACTTTTCTAAAATCCTTTCTAACATTGTTGCTTTTTGCTACTTTGATTGATGAAAAATATTTTTTTGCTGTTTTCTTACTGTTTTTTCCTCCCTAGGAAACTTATGTTAAGAAACCTTTCACTACTACTACATGTAGAATTTATTCACCATGGAACTATCTCCACTCACATTAAACATGTACTACTACTACTACCACCACCACCACTACTACTAGAGCCGCTGCGATTGCAAAGGCGTGTGCCCTCCTCCTCTTACCCTCGCTGTCCTTCTCGCTGGAGCGGCCACGATTCGCTGGTCGGTGGTCGGCGCTGATTCCCTTGGCGTTAGGGCATGCCTCACGACAGGCGGAGTGAGGCGGCGCGGAGGGCGTCGAGGACGACGGCGAGCTCAGCAATAGGTGTAGAGAAGAGGAATCACCGAAGTCGAGGTACTGGGCGGCGTCCCACGAGAGGTAGAGCGAGGCGGGTACTAGGCCGTGTCCCACGAAAGGCGGAGCGAGGCGGCGGGGACGACGTCGAAGACGACGGCGAGCTTGGCGATAGGTGTAGAGAAGAGCAATCACCATCGGGTGTCACGAGCGGGTACTCATCGGCGTTGAGGTGCACAAACCAGTCTCAGCCCTAGTCGACCCTCAGCAGCAACGAGGCGCCGTGCCGCGGAGGAAGCCACGTGGGAGAGCGTCGCCATGCCGGGACGAGACAAGCAGGGGCTACCTTCTTGTGCAGCGGCGCCATGCTACTACTACTACTCTGCTGCTGCTGCTGCTACTACTACTAAAATCTTGAAATAGAAATTTTAAATTGTCCTAGTACAAAGTTCGTGAAATTTTTAAAAAAGTTTGAAATTACAAAGTTTTAAATCTTATAAAGTTTTAAAGGTGCTAGTATAAGTTTTCTGAATTTAAAATGTGGACCAAGTTTTTTAAAAATTACCAAGTTTTTTGAAATTACCAAGTTTTATTTAAAATTCATCTGTTGTCCGGTAGCAGGATAAAAAAATAGATCTGTTGTAAGGCTCTTCGTGCACTTTTTTTTTGGAATCGAGCTAGCTCTTTGTTTATTGGAATCTTAGTAAAACTTGTTCAAATATCTTCAAATCATTAGTGGAACTGGACATTCAACGTGATGAGACGACAACCAGCTTATAAGTTTGAAAATTTGGGAAACCTGGACCGCTGTCACAGATCCCACCAAATTTTCCAAATGACACTTAGTAGCGCCATTCTTTAATTGCAGCGAAATTTCTAGCGCCAAAACCCCGGCGCCCACGACTGGTCCCACGCTTTTCCCTCCCCACATTACGTGACTATTCATCTCCCTTCCTAATACTCGCTAATCTAATCGGGTGGGAGAGCAGATAGCCGCACACGCCAGGCGCCAGTTAGGGTTTTGGGCTTCGACCAAGGGAAGAAGATGGCGACCCCTCCGGAGGGACCGGCGAGAGCGGCAACGGGGACACCTGCGTCGTCGTCGATCCTCACACCTGCAGCGGCGACGGTACCTGCGTGCAACACGGCAACACATGCATCAGCACGCGCAACTGCTTCCACGATGTCGAGACCCAAGGCGACGATGTCGCTTTTTCGGACACCTTCGTCCAGGACGGCGACAACTCTTGCCGATGAAGATGGAGGTGACGCCAGCCAAGGACGAGAAAGCTGCCGGCGTTCCTCTCTGACAGACGATAGGTAAGGGCACAAAATATCCCCTCCCTTCCCCAAGTGCACCTGGCTATGCAGTTTTTCTCATATATTTGTAACCATGCTCCAGCTTAGAAATGGTTCAGATTATGTCTACTTGGTATGAAAGTGTCTGAACTGTAACCTAAAAATAGGCTTAGTTGTATTAGATTCATGCTCTCTTTTTAACTGACTGACAGAGCTCCTTGATTTTATTCTTCTCATGTAGTACTTGTGAGATTAATTTCGCCATCTCTGTTTGGATGCTTGATGCATTCCTTTGGAGCCTAACAGAGTAGAAAGAAGTGTCTAATATTCATAAGTATAACTATAATACATCTGTTATCTGAATAAAAGTTTCAGGTTACACTTAAAAAAAAAAAAAGTCTATTAGAGTACAGACTTTTGATGTTTTCAGGTAGCTACGTGAACCATGAATTCGCCAAACAATGCACATCATATCCTGCCCTAGAGGCTCTTTCTGATTTTTCCCCCTCAAAAGTACAATCCACATAGCCTAATATGTTTGCTTTCCACTATAAGTGTTGCAAAGGCCAAGGCTTCTGCAACAGCCCAATCAATTCCTTTCGCTCTAAGTTAAATGGTTTTGCAGTTTATTGTTAAAAGATTTTACAGTTTATTGTAACCATGTTGCTGGAAATTGGAAAGGTGAAACGCAAGCTGAGACTATATTTTTTGCTGACATGCTTTGGCTGGTTTATGCAATGCCTTTTCGTATTAGCTAAAGTTCATAAAATTATTTCGGTTATAGCACAGTTATTATTCGAGGTATGTTTAGATTCTGGTTGTGGCTTCCAGCTTGTGTATGCACTGGTTTTCAGCAATCAGTTTGATGAGGACTGCTATATGCTATTATCTGAATCAAGAAATGCCTTTTCCTTTGCATCTGATGTGTTCCATTATTTCATCACCTGTCCCAAAAAGATGTTAATCCTCCCCGAAGCCATTCTCAAGTTGTTCCTTCTTTAAATATTGTTTCATCACCTGTGCTTATGTTTTTCATTATATTCTGTGACAGCTCGGAACAGACATGGACTATGTCTTTCACTTGCAAGGGGGCACCGGGGGGATAAGAATTTGCTCAGTATACAATAGACAAGGATTCGATCACATTTGGTAACTTAATAATAATGAAATCAAATTTGGGGTATGGTGCCAGGGACTACTTGTACTATAAGAGATGTGGTAATGCTGTAGCAACACTAAACCAGATCGAATATGATGTTGATGCAAATGCAATGTTATCAAGTAATGCGGAGGAGAGGGAGATCAGATTAGTATTGTCAAGGGATCAAATAATAGAGCGAAATGTAGAGATAACACCCATTAAATTGCCAAGAATGGCATCAATTAGTGAAGACTCCACATATGAGTCAATTGCTGATTACAAGGTGTGGCTTAACAATATGCAGGAAGAGGGCCAATGCATGGGTAAGTTATGTCGCTGCCCTATTCTAAATGGTTATATTATATTATATTGCAATGGCCGCATCACTGATACCAGCATGGTTTTTGCAGATTTTAAAGATATATACAGGGAAGACACAGTCAAGACTTACAAAGAATGGTTAAGGGTGCAATGACAACTTGATGATATTAGTAATATAACAACTTTTCCCAAAATTATTATCAGTCCTTCGCAAACCATTTATAGCTTACACATGTGACCTATTGTCTGTAGGTGCATATGACAACCGTAGGAATCAGATAGATTTACTAAACTCAAGTCAAGATAGCAATCCAACACCACCTCTGAAACTACCATCTCATGCTCGGCGTGAGAAAACACAGGGAAATAGTAAGCAATGCTTATTGTGATTTTATTTTGAGGTTCAGTTCAGTTGTCTCTATGTAAATGATTTTATATAATCTCTTGCATTGTATATTGTTTCGATTGACAAGACTCCAAAAAGAGGAAGGCACGAGGTACCGTGAAAGGATTGGCAGCCACCCACAAGAGATCCAGGTAGGGCAGTCAAAAGCTTAAACTCCAATTCTCTAGACTTGGAGGAGCTGCAGGTGAGAACACACGCACATTTACCGATGAAATAGTAGTGTTTACAAGGAAAAAAACACCACTCATTGGAGTGAGAACATGGAGAGATATCCACGAAGATGTAAAAAATCAATAGCATTTGATATGATGGTAAGCTTCTGATTTGTTTTTGGTTGTGTACACATTTTTGTTATCAAATTATTTAAGAAGTGACCTAGTATTTTTGTTTTATGTTGAACAGCATAAGTGGGACATTGAGGATAACGAGGAAAATAGGAAAAATATATGGACCATCGCAAATGAGCGTTACAAAGGATGGCGCTCAACATTTAGTGCTACGTACAAGGCATACACCACCTATGACTAGAGAATGAGACACATGCCAGAAGAGTTGGACATTGTTGAATGGCACTATCTGGTGTTGTATCTTGGTAGTGAAGAATTTCAGGTTTGATGACTTTTATTTTATTCTTGCCAATTGCACTTGATGAAATAAAGGCTATGTTTCGAGCACTGCACTATTTTTTTAGAATCAACTCCTTGTGCAGAGGATTAGCAGCAAGAATTTTCAGAATCGGCAGAATGTAAAGATACGCCATCTGACAAGATCAAAGTCTTTTTTCTCCGTGTAGCTATGAGCAGGTAATAACTTCAGAAGCACATGTCCATGCCTCCTTACATGATGAAATATCGCTAATTTGTTACATTGTTGCCAAATTAGAGGGACCCAGTAATCGGTGATGAAGCTTTTTATGTTGACGCACAGTAAGAATGGACGATGGACAAGCCAAGAATCTAGGGATGTCTATGTGAGTATACAGTTTGTACAAACCTTATTAAGTGATGCAAAGTGAACGCCTACAATTACATTTTCAATTAACTACTTTTACTGTAATCTCTTTGTTAGGATAATGCAAGCAGCAAAATTTTGGAGAGGGAAACAAATGGAGATGAGAACATCATCTCAGACGTGGAGCAAAACTAGATTTTCCTGTCAGCCTACAAGGAAACAAGAAAATGCAAATCAACCAAGATCCTTGCTAATGGATACTTGGCAAGGTACCCAACTAGAAGGTAGCTATTGTCTGAGGAATACTAGTACCGCGCCCGTCAGGATACGGCACTCGTGGACGCGTTTTCAAAGCTACAAGAAAGAATTTAATCTCAAGAGACTGAAAGGGAAGCCAAAAGGGAAGAACATAGGCGTCAGATGGAAGAAATGATGAAGGCAAGAGAGGCTGATAGAGAAGCACTTAGGCTAGAGTTTATGTCAATGTTGCAAGCAGCACAAGGACAAGCATCATTACAATTGGTAATAGTAATGTAAAATCTTAACTTGCCCAGTAGATTTAGTTAACATGTTTATGTGTCTCTAGGTTCTATACCTGCCGCTGGTTTAATCTTTTGATAGTTTGTTGAACTGAAATCAATAGCTCAGGTAGTTGGCTACAAACCATGCTGGTAGTAGTTTAGTTCTCATATATTGCAAAGGCGTTGTTTTGGTGTAGACATTATGCATATCTGCTGAAATTTGAATGCGTAAACAACATCATTTTTGTACTTTCAAACTCCACTCATGATTTTTCTGACCAAAATTTAAATGCAGACTAATAAAGATGGGGGACAAATTGCAGAAGTTGTTGCTGCAACAAACATGGTGGAAGGAAATGTAACAACTACAGAAAGTGAAGCAATATCACATCAGCAGGTAGTTTGAGAACTGAAGAGTGTTTAATGTTGTCATGTAATAGTCCAATATGGGGCCTAATTTTCCCTTCAACTATTGATTCGTAGGATAACCCAGGTAGAAGCCCGCCGCTAACACAACTCGCAGCTACCGCAGTGGCAGGTACAAGTACTACTCGCACAA